AAGAAAACTTTTTTTTATTTCGATTTATGAAACTTTAGATAAAAATTGGTTTAATCGTATTTCAATTTATAAAACTACACATGACATTTAGGACACTCTTAAAATTATACATAAAGGCACAAGTAAAGTTACAGAGTCTAAAATAAATCTTTTGATGTATGATTTTGAATTATTTTGAATAAAGCCAAGAGAAACTATAGTTAACATATGCACCCATTTTACGGATGTCGTCAATAGTTTAAAAACTCTTGGTAAATGTTTTTCAAATCTTGAACTTGTTAATAAAGTTTTACAATCTCTTTCTAAAAATTGAGATTCAAAAGTAACTATAACACAAGAGGCAAAGAACTTAAATAATTTTCTATTAGAAGAACTCATCGGTTTATTAATGACATATGAAATGACTTGTATGGCACAAAATAAACTTGAGAACAACCTTCCAAAGAATAGGAAGGATTTGGCACTTCGAATAATAGAAGACCACTCAATCGAAAGCTCGAGTGATGATGGCTTTGAACTCCTCACAATAAAATTTAAAAAGTTCATAAAACAATAATCAAAGAATAAAAATAAACTTAAAAAGAATAAAATAACTTGCTATAAATGCAATCAATTGGGGTACTTCAAAAGTGAATTTTCGTAATTGAAGAATAAGGTGCTCGCACAAAAAGAAGAAGAAAGCACTCAAAGCGACTTGGGATGATTCAAGTGCATCCAAAGACGAGGAGCAAACTGACAAAGAAAAGATGGCGAACTATGCCTTGATAGCTTTCAACAATGAGTTAAATGACTCAACTAAAACCCCTTTACTTTACTATGAAATTACTTGATATATTTCATAAGTTATTTTTAAATTAGTATATAAAATGCAAAAACGTGGGGGGGGGGGGGGGAGGGGAATTGAGCATGCCAATTGTATGTTAACTCCTAGCACTAAGTACGAAGAGTTAGATTCACTTAAGAAGAAAAATACATTACTACAACAAACAAAATGATTTTAATTGAAAATACTTTATATTTAATGAAATCATGCTTGATGTTCTAATGATGCATTATGGTGTATTGATCTTGATGACTCTTGTGTTAAATCTTGTTTTTCGATTTTAAACCATGATGCATATTTTTTTTTGGAATAAAAGACAAAGGCATACTTGTATGAAATAAATCACATAAATTGAAATATATATAAAAAAAGTGAATGCATTATTTTTGAAAATGTCTCTATCCCTAAAATATTATCAAGTTTTCAATAAGAGATTAATGAATCTATTTTGTCATTTTGAATCATTTGAAAGTGATTTTGATGATTTGAATTTGAATGAGTTTTATCTATATCATGATCTTAAATTCTCAAAATTATAACTTAGATTTTCTTTATATGAATCAATATCCTCTATTCCTTATTCTGATATGACTCTTGCATTTTATTAAAGAGAATACTTATCTAAATGAATCATAATTTTTATCTTGATTTCTCGGTTCTCAATGACTTACGTTTTTCATTTGAATCAAGATCGTTTATTATGATTCTTCCTTTTACTATTCACTAACTTTTACTATTCACTAAAATGGATATTTCTTTTAATCATGATCCTTCTCTTGATTTCTCAATATTCTTGAAATTCTCTATGATGTTTTTATTTAAGAGAAGATTTATACAAATTATAATCTTAATTTCTCAACTTGATTATGACTCCTTTGTATTGATCATCAAAATTGATCTCTTATATTTTAAATTGTTTCTTGATAATACAAAAGACTGATGATCTTTTGTATTGATCTTTCATGATCTTTAATATCTTTCATGTGATGATCATTGATGTGAATTTTTATACCTCCCCTCTTCTTCCTTCTTGTTTGTAATGACAAAGGGGAGAAAGAAAAATACTAGCATATCAAGAGAACCATAATTGCTAGCTTGAATGTTAAACTTAGGCATGTTAAATCTCCTAAATACATAAACTCTTCTTATACATTTTTTGGATTATGATCTTGATTTCTCGATTTTTATTACTTTAGTTTTCTTTTTAAATTAAGATCGTTTGCTATCATTCCTTCTATTTACAAAAGTGATATTTATCAAAAATGATACATTGTCTTTTGGCATACATGATTTGATCTTTTATTTTTTTAGATTGAAATATTGATGTAAATTTATCTTTATCATGATTTGAAAATTTATGTAAAGGAAAAAGAATTACAACATTGTATTATTTCCTTCTTTTTTACAATGACAAAGGGAGAGAAAAAATTGTTAACTTGCTGATCTAAAAAGAGAAGCAAAGATTGCTAGCTTGCACATCGCAAAGAGAGGCAAAACTTGCTAGCTTGCTCATCTCAAAAGAGAAGCAAGAATTACTTGCTTGCACATTGCAAAAGGAAGAAAAAATTATTATGTTATCCATCTCAAGAAGCAAAACTTGCAAACTTAACTCAAAAGAGAAGTAAGAATTGCTAACTTGTAATCTCAAGAGAAGAAAAAGTGACATCTTGCCCATCTTAAGAAGCAAAGAATTGTTAACTTGCATATCTCAAAAAAATTGCTAGCTTGCATGTTCTAAAATGATGTAAAACTTGCTAATTTACTAGTTCATATTTATGGACAATGAGACGGTTAACCAATTAGCCCACCATATTGAAGGCTATAATAGATTCGAATTAAAGATCGCTGATGGATGGATTTTAACTTATGATAGTAAATGTTTAAAGATAAAATTAATTATATAGGGCCAGGAGTTTCTTGCATTGATTACTACACTAAAAGATAGATCTATTTCTTACACTAGCAAAAAGTGGAGACCATACTTACTTGATCAACGGGTTGTGACGCATTGCAAATAGCCTATGATTGAAGTGCTAAAAGAGAAGCTTCTCGAGTTTGATGCTGCTCAGCCTTGAGGACAATGCTGATTTGAAGAGGGAGGAATTGTTAGGACCCTTTTTCTGAGCTTTTGAATAATGTTTATTGAGTCTGTTTAGTCTAATTGTTTATTGAGTTTGTTTAATCCAATTAGAGTCAAGTAGAGATTTATTTAATATTTATTTATTATTAAGAGTGCAAGTCCTTATGGACCCTATGTGAAACTCTATAAATAGTGATGTAACCCTTTCTTTTCGACAATCAATCAATCAGAAAATAAAATATTATTATTCAGTCTTTTGACAAACCCTAGGAGACCGATCCTCTCGTAGTGATCATTCACTTTTCTTTCTTTCTTTGATAATAAGACTTTAGGATCTTATCAATTGGATGTCAAGTTGGAGGGTTGATCAATGTATCGAAGATTAAATACAACCTATGTTTAGAAACAGTCACAAAAGCCAACCAAAATGGGGTTGTCAAGTCTATCACAAGCCCTATATGCTATGAAAGGCATAAACAACATCGAAAGATACAAATATACATGAATATTATATTAAACACCTTGTTTATAGTTGTTTGTGACACTAAGTAGATTAAGTATCGACCTTCTAATAATTGCATTATATGCTAATGGAATATTGACCACTAGGAATATCATCTTAACGATCTTCGAACATGGTCCTGAGCCAAAGGTCATATAGGCACTTAGCATTAGTGGCAAAATAGAATCCCTCGTGAATCCGATAACGATGGAAGTCATTGTGAGAAATTTTTAAAATTAAGGCCCATCTTCTAGAAGGCTTCAAAATATAAAATATTCACGAAGCTTCTAGTGTTGATCATCACTCTTTCGACGAAGGCATTCATGATTCGGATCGAAACTGTCTAGATATTCTGTATTTTCTTATTTGAGTATGATCTCTACATCTCGTTGAAACGATGTCATTTCTCATTATTGTTTTAGGCATAACATCTTGAGTAACTAAGCTAATAGAGCAATACATCATCATCATCATCATTATCATTTGTATATAGATATATGGGTTATTAGTAAGATGCTCTAACAGAAACACTATTTCTTTTATAAATACATTTATTCACAAATTCAATTCTAAATAATATCTATCTCATTAATAAGAACATTGAAGTTGGATTTGTTTTTATAAAAAATTTCTGACAAAAATTGTACGAAGAGGTCATATATTTCTAACGCTCTTCTATAACTATGCACAGAACTTCCACAAGCCTGATGATATCTTATTTTTAATATATCTTGGCTACTAAAGTTCTTAATTCTTGGTGCAGCCTCACATAACAAGTGACGATTACTTCTTAGTTCCCTATTCCCTGACAATTAGAATTCTGTGGACAAATGCTGCAAAACACACAAAGTTGCAGCAGACATTGTGGTGTTACCAGTAAAAACAAAGTATATCAATTAAGAGAATCCATTTGAATCGTCATTAGGGTTAAGAGTATTGCCAAAGCCCAGGCTTTTGATCTCTTCTTTCTTCTCACCTCTGCCATGTTTAGGCTACTCATATTCATCGGAAGAAGCAACTCCAGGTATGACTTGTTAATGAAGCCATACATGTTCATGCACCTTACAACTATGAACTTTGGCATCAAAACATAATGAGCATAAAGGAATCATCTGAACTTACAAAAGCACACACTAAAACACCCATCGATGCAATGAACAAAAGAAGGTAATCTTCTGGATTTACAAAAGCACATGACAGGACACCCGCTGATACAATGAACATAAGGTGGGTAATCTTCTGAACAAACAGAAGTATATACTGGAACACCCGTTGATGCAATGAACATAAGGTGATCTTCTGAACTAACAAAAGTACATACTAAAACACTCTTTGAAGCAATGGATATAACGTGACCTTCTTAACCGACAAAAGTACATGCTAAAACACCCATGCATCAGTGAATCATCTAGCTCTTCACAACCACAGAGAAGGTTAATGATTGGTCAATCTTGCAGTATTAAACAGCATAAAAGATCACAGAAGTGACACACAATCCATAAGACCATCATAGTAAATTCTGTTACCAGTGTCCATTTCCCAGTCACGCCACTAAAAGAGAATAGTTCAAAGGATTTTGATGTTGCAACTTCACAAGCCGAAAAAAAATATATAGTTTCCCTTTATTCTTTGGATTTCTACTTTGAAACCAAAGCAGCAACAAGGATCCCCAGCAAGAGATGTTCATGTTCTTTACATATTTGAAATTTATGGAATGAGAAACGATACTTGATTCCCTTGCACGATAAGTACTCAAGAGATGGATGGCGAAGAAACAGAAGAATCAAACTAAATATATGTTTCTTTGAGGCAGCTGGAGACTTATATTGAAGTAATATCCACTGAAGTTTAACACTGGCCAAGTAGACTCAAGCTCAGCTTATGCAGCAACAGCCCTTTGACCATCGCCAGAGGTTTCTGAAACTGCAGTTGAAGCAGCATTGGTTTTCTTGGATCTCAGGTGCTTATCTCTAATTTCATCTTGGTTGATCTTATTCTGTCTGCACTCAAGGCTACAAAAAGCAATTTCACCCCTGCAATTGCAAAGAGAAAGGCAAGTTGAATCAAGTTGCCAAGCATCCAAAGGGGATTACTAAGGAATGTATGCCACAAACAAGTAACATCGTCATCAAGAGTACTACTGCTCTCTGCTGCAGGAAAACTTCAAACATGAAACAAAAATCCTGTGCCACCAGAACCAGCTAAAGTAACATTTATGCAGTTCAAAAATATTAAGTGTGCATTTACTTTTACCAAGAAATACAAGTATTAATAAGAAATTACTTGTGTCACCTATAAAAAGATATATATATAAATTCACATAGTGAGATGAAATGTTTACTCGTCATGAGTCTGCCCATGGGCAGTCCAATTCATAATAACAAGTGAGAACAACCAAGAGTTTGTTCGGGGGTTGTAATCAAAAGGTCAAACCTTTTTACCGCTTCCTACTTGATATGGTTAATGCTCACAGGGGGATGAGCATAACTACTTCTTCAAAATTAGATATTTCAAGTTTTATCTTGCTTTCTGACTCTTCAACAGAAATCTATTACCTTCAGGTAACAACTGATGGATTATTTTGTGGCAAATTTTGCTCCATTGTCCAAACTATTAATCGCCATAATCCTATTCTAGTTTTCTCTCAAGTATAATGGTGCATATGGAGAAAAGCATAACTCCTTCATATTTCGAGACACTTCAAATTCTTTAAGCTTGAATACCTTTTCAGGTGTCACTAGCACATCATATATACATGCATGACTTTAGATTAGTCACAATTCAAAGGAAGCAGGCAGCTAAAGGTAGAAATGAACAAGAAACAACCTGTAAGTAATTCAGCCCACACATATGTTATGGATTTTAACTGAAATACCTGCAAAATTAACTTCAAAATATGCCAAAGATCCTACTGAACTTATACATCATGTGAATAACGTGGGCGACACCCACGATATCGATTTGATATGAATATCTTGGTACATCAAAAAAAAATGTAGCACCACTGGGAGTAAAATTGTTAATATATATAAAAAAAATATGGATGATATAAACCAAAAATACCATAATATAGTTGATTCCACTATTAAACCATGAAAGCCTCCCAAAACTAATGTCCAATAGCACCTGTTGTGATGTCAAGTTTCTCATACACAACATATGCAGACCAATTATGAGCGCCATGTACAGATCCAACGATGTTTTCCACAAGGAATAGGAATAAAGATTAAATCTTCCAAAAATTGAGATGAAAAAAGGCAACATCCATCATGAAGCAACGCAACGGTGACCGCGTAGTCTCAATCGGTGGCATACATCTTTAGAATTCTACGCAAACATGTAAGATGAGCAGAAAATTAAACGAATGAACTCCCAAAAAAAGGGAATTTTTTTCCTCACCGATAGATGAAGGTGTCGAAGCCAGGGCCGAGGCGGCGATTACAGAAGCCACAGGCCATCAGAAACTTGGTCGTCGTCTCCATCGTCCCCAAGTCACCGAAGCTCCACCGCTGGACGATCCTCGGTGGCCCCTCATCTTCCGGCCCCCTCCGCCTCTCCCGGTGCTGGCATTTGTGGTGGCGGCGGATCCCCTCTCTCCCTTCGGCGGCGGCCGCCACATCCTCCAAGGAGAACTCCGTCATACTCGTCGTTCGCCGCATCGGCTGCCTCGTCCGCTTCCCGAGGAGGATCGCCGCCGCCACTCCCTCTCCCGTCCCCTCGGCCATCTCGTCCTCCCCCTCGCAGAGCGGTGACGGAAGAGCGGTAGGCGGTGCCGCAACTCGAGAGACAAAAGGATGGAGCGACGACGTTTGGGCAATGAGTAGTGAGACAAATGAAGCAAGATTAATCCGAACCGTTCATTGTGACCTCTCCGTCGATGAATCCACGTCACCATCTTATTCCATTATATTTTAATTTTTATTCGTATGAAATTAACAACCCACACAGTCGAGTTTTTAACATCAAATATTTTCATGTTCTTTGTAAACGACACTGGCCAACTGCTTCAAAAACATTGCTTAAATTTCACACCTGAAACATTAGTGCCTAACTTAATTAATAATAGCCTTTGTTGAGATTTTTTATTTGGTTAGTATACTATTGCACAAGTAAGATTTTAGGTCTGAGTAAACTTAATAACTATTATTATTGATAGTAAAGTCTGTAAGTCTAAATCTTGTTTTCACCTATTTATCCTTTGCGAAAAAAATCTATGATTTCTTTCATCCACAACGAAATCAAACGCTTGATAGGAACATCATCGTCGGCTCCATGTACTCCTTGTTATGTTCCTAACTTTTGAGCAAAAGCACTCAATATCTCCATTGTGTTCTAAATTGCCTCTTGAAATTGAAGATAATAAATCTTTAAATCTTGTGTTTAAATCGATGAAAAGCTCTTTGTAGCTCGAAACAAGTGTGAAGAGGCGTCATATATATATATATATATATATATATATATATATATATATATAGTGGATAGCAATTGACCAGATAAAATAGACGTGCTTCAATATCATCAAGTTAAGTCGAGTCAAGCAAACGCATCCGTGGCTCACTCAGTATGGCTCTGGTACTGTACTGGTTGACTCCTAGTCAACACCTCCTTCAAGCTGGGATCTACCAAAGACCGACAGGCAGCAGGAAATGTTACCTCTTCCCCGGTAAACAACTACTAATGTCGGTAGTTCCTCAGTGGGTAAAGAATTCCTTTACCAGATCTTATCTCTATATATAAATATGCACAGCTCTCAACACACCAAGAACCAGTGAAGGCCATGGCGTTGCACTCTGTGTTTCGGACGTTGTTAGGATTTGCCATCATGATCTCAAGCAATCCCTTCCGCTCCCTGGTTGTAGGAACCAACTTCTCCTCCGGCAGTATCAAAGCTGTCAATCTTGGAGGATGGCTTGTCACAGAGGAGTGGATTACCCCCAACCTCTTCGACAGCATACCCAACAAGGAGCTTCTGGTAGCCTTTCACTGCCATGACCACTGCCTGTGACATGCATGGCTTGTGATACCAAAGTCCGATTCCAGTCACTGAGAAGCCAGAAGTATTTGTCTGCTGAAAAGGGTGTCGGCATGGAGATCGTGGCGAATCGATCCACAGCATCGGACTGGGAGACCTTTAAGGTGGATCTGAGTTCCTCGTTTAGTTTAATCTGAGTAGGTAAAACTGTGGTTGGATCTAATTACGTCCATTGCATGATGAGCAGCTGTGGAGAGTCGACGAGAACACCTTCCAGTTTCGGGCTTTTACTGGACAGTTCCAAAGTGTCAGCAATGGTGCTGTCGTCGCGATAACGAAGAACGCAAACCGACCGGAGTCGAAGTTTGTGGCAGTGAAGAACGATCAAAATCCAAAACTTGTTCGAATCAAAGCGTCGAATGGGCGCTTTCAGCAGGTTTTCGTCAAGATAATTATGCTTCTGTGGTTTTGACGATAAAGGAGATTGATGGGTGTCAACGCTGTGCAGGCGAAGACGGAACAGTTGTGACAGCAGGCTTCCAGGAGAAGACCAGCCGGGGAAATGGCGATCCGTCCGTGTTCTTGATGCAAATTAGTGCCACGATTACAGGGGAGTACCAGCTGACGAATGGATTGGGAGGGAAAGCAGCAGAAGTGCTGACAGTAAACATGAACCTTTGTTCATCTTACTTGCTTGATTTAAGTGTGCAAAGTGCTGAAACTGCTGATGCTACAGAGGCACTGTAACAGTTTCATAGTCGAGAGACTTCGAGTTCATATCCCAGCATAAGTTTAACATCGTGAGAACCACAGTTGGATGGTAGATGTGTTAGATTTTATTATTCTAATTAATTGGTTAAGATATAATGATATTTTAATTAAATTTTGATTAATATTATCAATCAATAAAAAAAATATTTCATAAGATAATTTTGATGGGAAAAACTCTATTAATTATTGTCATATACTTTCTGTTCTTACTTATAAAAAGATAATACCTCTTAGAGATAAAATATTAGAAATTGAGAGTGTAGATTTATTTTTGATCTCCTTTAGTTTCTATTTTATAACTCATAATAATCAATAGAAAAAAAATAAGAACATTTAGTTCTCCTTCCATATCAACATCGTTGTAAATTTTAGATTCTGCATTTATAAATTAGATAAAAATTTTCTGAATAATATAAAAAAATATACGATCTTAATCTTGATCTATTGTTATTTGATTTCAATTCTAATATTAAAATTTTACTATATAATAGTAACATAATTACAGTTTTTATTCTTAGAATTGATATTAGAGTAAGTTGTTTTAAAATCAAATATTTTAAATTATTAAAATATATCAAATCTATTTTGTAAATAGACCTATTTATGTATTAGATTTGTTTATGCATTTCATCTATTTAAGTAATCTATACTGTTAATGGCAATGCTTCTGAGCAATAGCTCTGTTGTGGGTGGCTACTGCAGTCACTATGTGCAGCAGCCTTAGCGATAGACCTCCGCACTACTACCTGTGGTAGTGCTTTTGAAGGCCGAGGTGAACTAGGATCACTTGACAACCATGCGAGGCTATAGGTGTCACCATGCTACTCCAGGCGATGGTCGAGGTTGCGACGTTGGTCTTGGCTGCGGCAATGGAACTCGGTAATATTGGGCAATGGTGGATGGTATGGCATGGACTGCAGCATCGAGGTGTGGCAGATAGGGATTGAGGCGTAGGTTACGGCACACGGTGGTGCTGCTGTTGTCGACAGCACAGTAAGGGACAGTAGTAACTCAACTATGCGTCAATAGTCAGCGATGCACAACAGGATGGATTGTTGAACCGTAGCACAGTGGCGGCTACACACTATGGTGGCTGCTCCGTGGCACAACGACGGACGACTGCTCACTATGGTAGTCGAACCGAAGTGCAACCATGGACAACTGCACAGTATAACAGCCGCTTCGTTGTATAAGTGGTGAACAATTGCACACTGTGATGGTCGATCCGTTGTACAACAGCGGATTGTAGCGACATCGATGCATAATTGAGTGATGATGGCATGGTCACAGGTTGTGGTAGTGGCAGCTGAGGCAACGTGCGATGGAGGAAGCCACGATGAGAAGCCGACCACAAGGAGAAATCACAACTCTTGTGATTTTAATTATTTAACCCTAATTTTGACTAAATCAAAATATTGATTTTGACCATTTTGACTACTTTTGATAATATTTGACTTTGACTTTAGTCAAAATCTAATTTTGATCCAATTTTAATTGATTTAATTTTGACCAAGTTTTGATCCCATTTTGATTGGTCAGCGATGCACAACGGGATGGATTCTAACCTATTGCACCTAGTTATTGACCCTATTGACCATCTTGATTTGGTCAAATTTTAATTTTGATTGAGCCCTAAGTTTGGTCGATCCTCAATTTTTGACCCTATTTGATTCTAACTATATTTTGACTCTTGATTGAATTTAGATCCAATCAATCTCATTTTTTTTATCAAATTTAAAAAATATTAAAATTTGACTAATATATGACTTAAATCAATTTTAATTTTGACTGATTTAATTGGATCGATGTTTAGTTCAATTCTATGCCTATAAAATTAAATGGGGTTGACTCATCTGATTTAGATTCCATATAAAATTTAAAAATACAAATTATATTTTTTCTAATTTTCTCTTATGATATGTTCATAAAATTTTACTTGTGATAATTAAATTTTAATTATTATTTTTTATATTTATTTAGTTATTCACATGCATATATTTAAAATTATAAAATAATATTTATTTTTCACATAAAAGTGTTATCTATGTTTTATCATTATTATAATCATCATATGAGTTTTCTTTTATGCGATTAATATTCAATAATAATAATTATTATTATTTTATAGTTATTAAAATATTTGACATAAATTAGATTAAAGAATACTTGATGAATATTATTTGTAACCTATATCCCTAAGCTTTATTGGACTAATAACTATCAAAGTGGCTTAGGATGATAGATTTATAAGATATAAATTATAATAAATATTTTATAATTTATAAGATATTTTAAACTATATTCTATATTATTATATTAGTCTTCTAGGCACCAAAGTGGCTTGGACTAATAGATTTATAAAATTATATTAATAAATTAGTCTTAAATAATATTAAAAAATATTCATAATTATATACATAATTAAAAAATTTAGATAATCATAAAGGAGATTCTACTTCGAATAATTATGTGATGGTATAAGATGATATCATTTTGAATATCCTTATAGTTTATGATTATATACCCAAAGATAGTAATACTATTCTAAAAGAATGGCTTTAGTCATCCATAATAGTAAAATATCATGTGAACACTAGATATATTAATTTTTCACCCAAAGATGAAATAGAGATCATCTCAATAATTCAACATTTACTAAAAAATCAAAATATTAATATTATATTATTTTATTTTAGTGGTACTTCCTTCATTATATTCTTATAAATATCCTTATAATTTTTGGATAAAATTATTATAAATAAATTGTGTAATTTATACTGAGAGTTAGATATTGACAAAGGATAATAAGCTTAACTATTAAAGAGTTCAACGAGAGATAATTAAATAATTAGAAAAATTATAAAAGGCTCAATTTTAATAATTACTAATAATATTTAGACCTAATTATAGAATATAACAAATGTATTGAAATAGTAAAAGATTGATTTAAAATTATTGATTAGTCATTAATTGGCTATAATTTAATATTATAATATTTGAGGAATTTTATGATATATCATTTTGATTGACAAAGTTATAAAGCTTAAAATATTGGATATGAATGTAAATGAGTCCTTCATGTATAATTTATTATTAATTCTTTTTATTTTTTATTTGGTTCATTTAAAATTTGCTATAACATAAATAAAAAATAAGTAAAATTTAAATAAGCTGGCTAGTATTTGTGTTTAAGAAGAATTAAGATTAAAGTAGAAAAAACTAATAATATTTTGGGTACTACTCAATGAGTGAATAATAATAATAATAGATTGAAGTATAATTTATCAAATAAATCAATTGAGTTTTAAATACAATATAAATTCATAAAAAAAAATATTAACATTAAAATACTATTTATATGGTAAGAAAGATAGTGTGAAAATAACTATAAGGTTTGGTTCGAAAGGAAAAGTTATAAATTAACCTTTGTATGCTTTAAATCAAATATTATAGAAGTCCATTTCTAATACTTGATAAATTGATTCTAACACTTCGACTTATGTTACCAATAATATATAGAGAATCATCTTAACTCAAAACCAAAAAGCATAAAAAGATCTTTATTACAAGGAATTATCATAAAGCGTAAGTGATAATAGTGAATACTTATCACCTATGTTCAGAGATGGTTCATTTGATGTATCTTGAGGATACATGTTATATTCCTATAATTCTAAAATCTTGATTTCTTTATCTATAATTGTTAGGATATTACTTTCTTATGGAAAACTCAATATATTTATGATTCAGTTAGTTATAAAATTCTATATGATGGTTTGTATAGAATTAATAAGAATCTTGAGTTTACAACTATCTTATAATTAATAATTAGAATAAAACATAGTTCATGTACTCCTTGAGATTATATATGTTTACATCTACAAGTCACTTTATATTCCCTATTTTGATAAAGAGAGATATTTTATCACATTTATAAATAACATGTTGAGATATGACTATGTATATTTAATTTATATAAGGTCTCAAGTTATCGACACATTTAGGTATATATAAATGAAGTCGAGAGATAATTAAATAGAAAGGTTAAAATTATCAATTCTAGCAGTGGTAATAAATTTTATGATAGATATGATGAGTCTAATCACAATTTTAATTTTTTTACTACATTCTTAGAAAAGTGGGATATTCATTATGTCTCATCAAATGTGTCACGATAGAATGCTAAAAAGCTTGTACTCTTATAGATATAGTTAATAGCATAATAAGTTATTCTTTATACCTGAATCAATGTGAGATGAAGCTTTAAAGATAGTAATATATATTCTAAAAAGGGTTTCTAGTAAGTCAGTTTCATCAACTCCTTTTGAATTATAGATTTATAGAAAACTCAACTTAAGATAGTTACATATTTAGAATTGTCATGCAGAGATAATAGTCTTTAAATCATATGAAAAAAATAAATTTAAGGACTATTTTTGAGTATTTTATTATTTATCTAAAAAATTAAATATTTATTACCTTAATGATGGTAGTTGAATAAGTGGAAGTAAAAATCTTAAAATTTAATCTTGACATTGAGAAGATATAAGTTAATACTTTTTTATTATTTTATATTTGAGAAGTTATTCATGTTAGGATCGTAATGATACTAAGAGAGAGGGGCAAGGGGGGGGGGGGGAGTAAATTAATACTATAGTATTTTTTATCCTATTTGAAGTTTGATTGATAAATCTATATCGAAACATGATTAATCAAAAATATGAGTAAGGTTGTGAATAAAGCAAATTAACAAGCAATTGAAAATCAAAAGTAAGAGAAGGAATGTAAACCAATTTATAATGGTTCGGTCTTCTCAACCTACGTTCACTCCTAATTTCTCTTCTCTTAAGGCCATCGACTTTTACTACCGATCTTCTTTCTAATGGGCGAAGATCAACTACCCTTGTTATAGCTTTTCTCATTTTAATAGGCTTTGGAGAGAACCTCCATACTCACTCCTTAATAAGATCTCTCGC